TTGATTGTTTATTTTTTTAAGGAGAATTGAATTACTCTCCGTACTCAGAGCTCTGCTGTGTTTATGGTATGGTTGTAAGTATAATTAACAATGAAGGTTAAAAGAAATATTTTTTGCAGCAAGGTGATTATGTTAATGGATATTTGAATAGGGAATATAAAGTTTGAAGATATAGTATTAAAATGCTATAAATTTTACTGTTTTTTTTTTTAAAAAATAACAATGTTTTGGTGATGTTCAAAGTCGAATTTAGAGAAAAACTTTCTCTGAACTACCGATTAGGACCAACAATTTACCTAAATGCAATACTGTTTGGTTTCCCGGAATCAATTAGATAAAAAAAGTTAAAAACTGTAGCCGTGCCTATGACAAGGCATATATATATATATATACATTTATTGTTTATTTAGATTAAAAGCATAGTTAAAGGTGCTAAAATTGGCACTAAAATTGAAGAATAAATGAAGACCAGTTTTCGTGTGAAAACCCTAGATGAGTGCAGTCATTGTCGGTTAATAGAGTTTTTGATTCATCTGTGAATAACTTTCGACCTATTGTGATTCCATTAGTTCAAATTTTCGACCCATATAAAGAGCTAGACTTTCATTCAGAACAACCAAGAGTTATAAATCCAGTTCCAATTACACCATTTTCCTTTATTGAACCCCCAACACCGCTACAAAACACTTTAATCTCGATCCCCAAAAGATAGTCGTTAAAACATACCATTCTGTTATCAGCAAGGCATGAAAACTAAACCAAAATCCTATTTATCTCATGCATTCAAAATTAAGATATCCCAACCGAACCCTAAAAATATGCCCAATACGCAAAGCAGTTAAGTGCCTTGCTGGTCGAATAGGTATGGCGCTTGGCTCAAATTTGGGATGGTAACTCGAAGGTCGTCGGTTCGAATCCAGCCATTTTCCAAATTTGTTCTTTTTCGGAAGTTTAGATACTTCGACTGCTTAATGTAGGAGATCAAGCCATAATTGGGCATTTGGGCAACGTTGGATTAAGGAACGGGTCAGGAACTTAAAGTGTAGCGGGAGAAATAGGAACGAGAGCTACAAGATTACCCACGAATGGAATATTGTTAGAACGGACCTGAAAAGTATCATGTCACGCCTACAGAAGATCGAAACGAGAGCCTTAGTTTATTTGAAACCTAGATTTGAAGATTAGCAGTTTGATCCTACATAATACTAATTCATATGTGTACAAATACAAAAGTGTAAAATGTGAATTATTACCGGACAGTATGTCGTCAATAAATGCAATAAAGTGCAATTAAAATGAAAAAAAGATTCGTTGAGATATAGTGTAAACAGGCTCAGGGATTATTTTGAATATTTTTTAGGATAAATAGTATTTTTGGTATAGTTTCCTCGCCATGGTTATCAGAGAAACATCAGAAAGATGTGAAGGTATGCTGACGCAACATCACGGCTGTTTGAAAGGAAAAAAAACTATTTACTGCAGCTTGCTGATTTATACTTTAGATAAAGAAGATGTTAACTCTACGAATGATTTGATTGACCTTATTTGGTATTAAAGACAGAAAATTCTTGAAAAGAAAGTCTAATTACCAATTTTCAGCCGCCAAAAGTAGCTTAAAGTCTTACGATAAAATATTTTTCACATTTCAATTTTATCAATATTACAAAACCACATTTTCAAGTATTCCAAAATCACTAACAATAAAACCTACTAATTCCAATTTTAATGATTCCAATCAGTAAAATCAAATTGAAAACATACAAAATATTTCATGATACAAAATGTGCATCGAAACCACTAAATTATTAAACAGCTTTTAAGCTTCGAATATTGACATTGAAAATGTGGAATGTATGGCATTGTAAAAATGCCACACATTTCGATTGATTACGGTAACGCAAACTAATGAAAATGTTGCAAACTTCAAAAGAAATGCCTTTAAATAAGGCACAATTTCACATCAAAGAATAAAAGTCCTTGAGTTGTGCCTTCGATGAAGCTTCAATAGTTGATTGAATTACTGTCCGGATGAATTAACCTTCAATAAAATATGAATTTGCCAAAGGTACATTAACAATAGACCAAATTTTTCGGAAATACAAACAAGATTATGCTCATAGCCTAACATAATTTCGTCGACCTTCTTGATGCTCAATTGTAGATATAATTTTCATCCCTTTTTCAGCTGGGTAGATTCATTCCGAGAATTGATTGCTCTTTGAATCTAATTTTCAAGATCAAAATTGAGGAAATCAACTTGAAGCTTCAAAATTGTGGATAATTGTCCCTTAGAAAAGGATCTACGATGACTTTTAACCCCTTACTTGGTGTTTAAAAGTAAAATGTATTAAAAGCTTAACGAATTTAAAACTTTACAATTATAACCTCAAAATAATAAAGATCCCCAAAATACATGCAGATCTATTAGAAAACATTCCAAATCATTGAAGCTTTATTAACAATTTTCATCTTGAGTGAATATTTGTACAAATCTACACGAGCAAACATTATAATACCAAAGAATTGCTTCAGTAAATAAAAATCGATACGTAATGCTCTTTCACATGATTCTTATTTGTATTTTCACATCTAGAACGCAATATACATTTTTAAAGATCTACAAATCCACAGTTTTTTGCTATTTCATCCCACTAGCATTGAAGAATATGTGCAAGCATAAATTTTCCAGGTACTTTTAAATTTATTTCCATCAGAAGCGTAGAGAATGCTTTTATTGCTAATCCAAGAATATAGGAAAGCTCTATTGTGTGGAAAGTACCACTGGATATTCTCCAACCATCCCACACCACTCAATATCTCCCTACATAAAATATGATATGTTTGCAAATTGGAATAAAAAAAGAGAGGATGCGAATACAATTCAACGATATTTTTTAAACTGAAAATTGGCTGCATCAATAAATCCTGAATATCTTCCTCTATATCTCCTACTTCTTCCGTTCCAATCTATATTGTACGTAAATATATATTGAATTTAATTCGAATGAACTGAATGAGAATGAAAATAAAAACTCAATACGTGAAATTGAATTTTCATTTATGTAAAATTATTGAAAAGTAAATAAAATTTGTATGAATTTATGCTAAATAAAAAAAAATATATTTGTGTATTGAAATAAAGGATTTCACTGAGTGCAGAATAATTTATTTAATGTAAGTGACGGAAAGCATTAGGATGCTTTTAAATTCGTTTTTATGAAAAGCTTTTGAAATGTGAAATAAACTAATTGCTTTTTAAATTATGTTTTTATCTAAATAATGCAATTGTTGTGGAATATTGGATAAAGCAAGGGGTGAGGGCTCCTCTCTACTCATTGCATTTCATTGCAATTTGACTAAACTTTACTGCAATCCATTGCAATTACAGTACTTTTGTGTACTATAGCAAATTTTATTGCACTTTGTTGCAATTAATTGCACTTTGCTCAACTTTGCTGCACTATATTGCAATTTACTCTACTCCATTCTACTTTGTTGCACTTTACTAGACTTTATTCTACTTTATTGCACTTTGCAGCGCTTTTTTGTACAAATTATTCAGTTAATAATATCAATATTAATATTTTTAATCTATTTTTATTAATTTTTTAAAAGAAAAGAGCCATTAATAATGACTGATTATTATAAATTTGTCTTTTAAAATATTTTAAAACTTCAAAAATCCAAAATTTAAATTTGTAAAGCATTAAAATTGCCAAAACTGTTAAAAACCTACTTTAATTCAGCTTCATTAATGAATATCTTAAAACGTAAGGAAAAATGTTGAAATCAATGCAATATTAGAAGAGTTTCACATTTTTGATATGATTTTTGACAAAAAAAAAAAATGCGTTTCCATAAATAAACACAAAGACGTGTTTAAAATTTGTATTTTTTCTCTTTTTTTTGAAATTTTCAACGGATTTTTTTTTATATTCACACCGTATTGAGCATCAAAAAGTTTGTGCCTTCAGTTTTACATCATAATCAAAAGTCAGAATTGAAATTGATTAAGGCATTGTTAAACTAGTTAAATTTGAAATTTTCTGTTTGACTTTTCATAACGGGAATATTTTTTTTGCTTTTCGAACTTAGTGTTCTTTTCAGCAAATTTTTACGAAGTTAATGTATATTGGAAACTTTAGATCTGGTCAATCATATTTAAATTTTTTTTTCAAGACTGAGCTTACAAATTTCTCAAAAAAGCAATGAAGTAAATTATTCTAAAACGGAGTTAAGTAATACACTTTAAAATTCAAAAAAATTGCTGTGATCTACAGTTTACAAAGTACATTTACAAAGGAAATAAAGCAAAAAACACCGTGAGCATTGAATGTGCAGTACTATCCCAAATTTAAAGATGTTCCGCAGTGAAATAAATCATTAATCATTTAAATCAAGTATTAAAACCATAAAAAAAAATTTTAAAAAAGGCTGCACTTACAGCACTTTATTGCAATTCATTGCACTTTGCTGCACTTCATTGCACTTTACTCTACTTCATTATATTTTGTTGCACTTTTCTAAATTTTTTTTCTACTTTGGAGCACTTTATTGCATTTTTCAATAAATTTTTGCACTTTTTGAGGAGCCCTTACCCCTTGGGATAAAGGTTGGTGGAGGGGAAAGTTTCAGAATTAATTGCAACAGTCCCAAAACAATACCAAATGAACCGTGCAATAATCATTGCAGATTTATGGTGTATATTGTTGGAGGATCGTAACTTATGAATTTGGAGTTTCCGCGTCACTTCCTGATTGTTTTATGTTTGGAGTCTAGATATATTGGTTTTGATGATTTTTAAGAACAAGAATAGCATAGATTTGTCTTTTTGTTATAGGGGCCACTTATTGCGTAACGCTTTTAGGGGGGGGAGGGGGGTCTAAGATTTTGTTACTTTTCAAACAAGGAAATTTTTTTTTTCATACAAATTTTGTTACGAGGGGGGGGGTCTAAAAAGTCATTTTTTCGCGTTACGTAATAAGTGAACAGCCCCATTCCACAACTCAGCTGAGCCACTCGGTCGAGAACTCTGTCCAAAAATAAAATTCTGGAACAACAATAAAGCCAATAATTTTAACTCTAGACAGGAGATCACTTGAACCAAGTTTGTCATTTATTTTGGCATATTCTATACATCTTCACATCATTCAATGGTTCATTTGCGAATGGAATCTTCCTCTCAAGATTATCAATTGATATTTCAGTTACATCAAATGAGTTCACCTTCAAAAGCTTACAAAATTCATTAAAAGTCTCCTGATTTCTTATTGTTTGAGATAAAACAAATTGCAGAGATGAATCGCAATAAAGGTTGAAGAGGACTTTTAAGCAGCTCACAAGTGCTTTAAAAATTGAAGAGTCATAGACGATATCTGCAGCGAGGATCATATTAATTTTACATTTTCTCATAAGCTCTTTTTGATTTTCAATGATATCCTCCCACGCAAGATTTAGAATTCCCATTTCACAAGAGTTGTTTACGTACGAATGCTGTCTAATCAGTAATGATGACTCTAGATTTTCAATATTATACCCCTCAAGATTTAAATTTATATTTTCTATTAATTTGTTGACAACTGTGTCATGGCAATCAGATAAAAACACTTGTTTACATCTGCTGGATTTCAGGAGAGCTAGTCCTACTAATCCAGAACAACCAGAACCGATTTCAAGGATTGATTTGTCATTAAAGATATCAGGATTGTTGAAAATATAGTTGCTTAACGTCACCGCAGCAGGCCATAACTTCAGACCAGTAGTGCCATCTCTGATAAAACTATTAGACTCCTTTATACTGATAAATTCGTTTTCAACAACATTAAAATGTTTATAAGAAAACTCAGAATCACATTCGCTTATTTTCTCGGCAAGAATCTCGTAAAATTTATCGTGAATATCAGATACTTCATTTGATTCTAATTGCTGGATTATGTGCTTAATAAATATTTTTTGGTAGTCATTTCTTAATGGATATTTAACATTTCTCTCATGTAAGATTGTTGCTCTAATTAAAGTTTCTTGATCTTCCCAATCTAAATTTGTCAATATATCCTGTTAAATGAATGACATTTCATGATTTTATGATTATTTGAATAATTATTTAGCTATATTTACTTTAAAATCAATGTCTTTCACTGGAACTCCACTTAAAAAGTTTAATTTAATATTCTTGAATTTGCTCATTTTGTAAACACGTGTCACCAATACACTCTCAGATTTCTCTCTCATATTTTTTCACGGAAATTTTACATAGAATGCGTATTCATTTTGTTCTATTTCTCTTATATTTCATGAAAAACTGAATGTAAAAACAATTAAAGAGTTCAATTTACATCTAGCTTAGATATTAAACTGCTTAAAATAAGCTGGAATTGACCCAAATCATCAATTTTAAATAATTGTCACCATTGACTTTGGATCCAACCAAAGTTTCAAATTTTAAAAACTCGTTGAAAATGTAAACAAAAATCCAGTCAAAAAAAGGTTTTTTGTACTTACCTAATAATGCGTCCATAGCTCAATACAACACAGCTACACAACTTTTAATTTGTTATTCGGCTTTTTGAAGGTCTCTTAAATGTTAATAAAATATTTAAACACTTTAAATGTAATTAAAACACAGATTTTACGACAAAATATTCACAAACTTTCCACGATGAAGTTTTTGACACAGGAAGAAGCTATTAATGTAGACTTAGAGCTGTTCAATGAATATAAGTTTTCGGGTTTGTTTTGATAATTGTTGTGGTTTTTGGCTTTAAAATTTGTGGATATTTCTTAATTGCAGTGGATCAGTTGATGGAATTAGCTGGATTGTCATGTGCACATGCTGTTGCTAAGGAATTTCCAATTAAAAGTGATGAGGATAAACGGGAAGCACTGATTATAGCTGGTCCTGGAAATAATGGTAAAATTAGTCAGAAACTTCTATTCGATCTATGAAAATTTCAATAATTTGCAGGCGGAGATGGATTAGTTCTAGCCAGGCACTTATCGCTCATGAATTTCAAGCCATCAGTCTATTACCCAAAGCGTGTCGATAAGCCATTATTCAATAATCTAGTAAAGCAATGTGAATTAATGGACATCCCGTTCCTTGATTCCTGTCCAGATGTTGAATCTTCCTCAAAATACAGATTCATTGCTGATGGCTTATTCGGTTTTAGCTTCAAGCCACCAGTTCGAGATGCTTTTAAGGATGTAATGAACTTGATGTGCCATACTAAGACTCATGTGTGCTGTATTGATATTCCAAGTGGCTGGGATGTAGAAAAAGGAGCTAGAGAAGGAGATGCGATTAAGCCTTACATGCTAATATCCTTAACTGCTCCAAAACTCTGTGCTAAGCATTTTAATGGTGCTCATTATTTGGGAGGTAGAAAGCCAACTGCCATTTATAATTTGAATTTTGTGACGTTTTTGAAATATAAAAACTTAATTATTTAATCCCTTCCAGGCCGTTTTGTACCACCACGTCTATCTCAAAAATATCAAATGGACTTGCCTGAATATCCTGGAACCGAACTTTGTATAAAACTCAACTAAAACATACTGCATTTTAATAAATTACATAGAAATTCATGTAACTGTTTATTTCCTTATAAAAATTCTCATATTCTAGGCTGTGACTATCTTAATTCCTAAAACTTTTTAAATTTTCTCCGTCGATGCTTTTTCGAGAACGGCGAATCGTCATCATCGTCACTATGGCTTGAATTATTCGTGTTATTTGCATTCCATTCTTTCTTTAATTCCTGTAGCATAGCTGGAGTTAAAAGTCCTTGAGCAAGCAGTCTTTCGGTTAATCGTCCTCGTAATGGACTTGAAAATTTGTTGTCTGAAAAGATTTGAGGCTTAGCATTGAGGATATTAAGTTGATAATTGTAGTAACTCACCTCTAATAGCATGTTCCTTATTTTGGCTCAAAACAAATGAATCTTCATCCGGCTGATTCGATGAAATTGCTGATTCTGAATTCTGCAATAATTTTGTGATCTGAATGACTCCTTGTTGAATAATCTCGTCCAATTCTTTCTGTATGTCACGAACTAAAATTGCTTCTGGAAAAACGTCCATAAAGCGATAACTAAACCACAAATAAAGATCCAGCACATCAAAAACAGCTTCCAAATGAACTAAATCGAGGATTGTTCGAGGCAATGAAAAAGGCCAGCCAGTTTGTGTGCATAGCCAATTAAATGTAACTGGTTCATTACGGCTGTATTGTCTAGCGAACTGGAAACATAAATTTATGGCATTTACATGCTGTATATGATTAATAGCTCCTTATAAATTTACCTTTAAGAACATTGAACACACAAAAGGCATTTTTCTATTGATTGGTGCACAGCAAAATATATATCGAGCTCTTAATGCTAGTGGCACATGCTGAATCATTTCTGCTAAGAATTTAAAGTCTTCTGTATTGCACATGAAGTATAGTCCTTCATCAACTGTACTCATTGTTACGAAAATGTCCTAGATTGAAAAAGAAGAAAAATCCGTTAATTTTTTTTTTGAATTTGAGAACCGTTTAAATGTTTTCCGAGGTTCAAAACCATAAAAATCCAAATAAGTTGAAAACTTTACAAATTCAAGTTTTCTAAAACCTTCCACATGTTTTTTCAAAACACTACAAATCCAAAAATTCACAAAAAAGAACTCACCATTAAATTACTCAAAGTAGAATTAGGCAGATGATAAGCATAAAGTTCAATTTGATCAGCCGTTGGATGAAGTCCAGCTTGTGTCAATGGCTCAGGATTCTTTTTCAACAGTCCAGTTAATGTATGCAAATCTTCTGGTCTAAAAGTAGTCACAAATCCTTCTTCCCACTGAGTTCCGTACCTTCCAGCACGCCCTGCAATTTGTAATGCTGACGATATAGAAATTGTGTCCATTTCACGCTCGCCTTTTTCATTCATTGACGGTTTTATGAGGGAATAAAAAATTATTCGACGAATACTTAAATTTAAGCCCATGCCAATGGCATCTGTTGCTACCATAATTTTACAGCTATTATTTGGATCATTAAATTTGGCTGCTTGTGCTAATTTTGTGCCTGGTGGTAAAGTTCCATAAATTACTGCCACTTCCTTTCCTCGAGCTTCAATTTCTTTCGATACTGTGTAAATGTCATTCTTACTAAAGCATACAATACAATCTCCAGGCTGTACATTATTGAGTGACGTCAGAGCTTTATTTTCCACAGTCAACTCTGTAAGTCTTTTATAATGTCGCACTTCTAGTTCCTCTCCAGTCGTTTCACACAACCTTTTAAGTAATTCATAAGATCCAGCCTCACCACAAACGTGAATTTCTTCAGCAATCAGTCCAAGTAAGGCTCTTGTCCATGCCCAGCCTCTTTGTGGATCTTTGATTTGTTGGATTTCATCAATAATTGCAATTTCGTAAGGCATAGTTAAGGAAGTCATTTCTACAGTACAGGCAACATGTGCTGCTGGTGTGTCTGCGTTTATTGCAAAGCTGCGCTCTTCTCCAGTCACTAGATCACAAGGAGTTCCTCTCTTGTTGCTTTTATGATAAACTTCTGTAGCCAAAAGTTTTAATGGGCCACAATAAACACCAGATTTAGCTGATAAAAATCTTTCCATTGCATGATATGTCTTGCCTGAATTCGTAGGTCCTGCATGGAAAACGATCTTTCTGTTTATAGCTCTTGCTGCTGGATACCAATTTGCCGGTTCTCTCAAATCTGAAATCTTCTTTAAATCGTCCATACAGTCAAGATGTGGAAAAATTTGCTTTGCATGTCTAAGGAAGTATGGAAATATATCATCGACATGCCCAGCATTTTGGAATATATCACTAAATACAATATGCAGATCTACTGGAAGATTTTCTGTATCTCGACAATATCGACGGAAACTAGCGAATGCTTGCTGTTGTAGGACGTCTGAAATGTTTACAATTAAGTTTAATTATCGCTTTATCAATATTATTTTTTTACACTTACTGTCAAGTCCATTTTCAAGGCACAACATTCTTATTTCCCGTCTTTGTGCAAATTTATTGAGAATTTTCATAATTTCGGATTTGTCGACTGAAACACCTGTAATCTCTGCTCCCACATTAATATCATCTTGCGATAATCTAATTTCAACAGGCACAGGCTTAAACAACGAGGATAGTGCTGATGGATCTGTTTTCTTACATCTGTGAATATTTGTACAAATTCTATTTGGCAATAAAATACTTCTATTTAATCTATTGATTCGAATAGCATTTGATTCTGCTATTGAATTGAACGCAAACCGGATATTCTTTAACATTCCCTAGGCTCTATATCTTGCTCTAAATATGATTAATTAATTTATTTTGTAATGTTTACTTTTAAATTCATTTTCGGGGTGCAAAACTACGACTTTTAATTTTAAGGTTATTTTCAAATAATTTTTCACAGTTAAAGTTTTTCATGTGACTGCGGCTGACTTTGTTTACAATTTTTCTTAAAATCACATGAAATTTAAAGAAATCACAAATATCAGCTAAAATACGTAAAGATTCACTCAAAATTACTAGTCATCAATAAGTATGTTAAGCATACTAGCCAGACGATGTGCAACCAACGTGAAAACTACCATAATTACAGTTCATAAAAGAAATTTTCTTTTGGGCAAAAGAGTGAGTGAAAAAAAGTTCAAGTTAAGAGACAAAATAGATCCAGAATGGTCATTAATCTACAAAGCACCAATGGAATACTACTTGGCAGCATGCAATCACATCACAACACTGTCAGCTATCTTGTTTACTGGATATATCATTGTTAAATTCAAGAACCGAAATGAAACTGTTTCGACAGGTAAGAACTTGAATTAAATTGAGAAACTGATAATGAATCTACCTTAATTTTGTAGAGATGAAGCCATTCGAGCTGCTGTCTGGAAAGATATTGATGGCAGACAGCGATTACTTGTATTTTGCAATTGGATTCGTTGTTATCAACATTGTGCTTCGAATTACTGCATATAGGTTCCCGTTGAGGATATACAAGAAAGGAACTGAGTAAGTGAATGATAAATCTGAGTTCTTGATTGAATAAAATGCTTATAAATCTTTATTGCAACAGATTCACAGCCGTTTTCGAAGGTCAGGTTCCGTTCCAAAAGGATAAATATATATTTGCTAAAGGAGCAATTAAGGAACAACCAATTAAAGGAATACTGCCTTGGAGAGACTGTAGATATAAAATTGATGACAAGAGGAAAGTCATTCTCCTTTACGAGTCCTTCAAAACACCATCGGAACTTTTTGAGATGCTCAGAAAGCAGGCAAAACCTAGAATTTATCAGGAAAAGGAAATGTTCAGATAGAACTGAAGTGTACATAGATTTAGGAGTAGATACAATGATTTCTTAGTGATCAAGCTGAAAAGTCAATAAATTAAAAGAAACTTAATTCAGTTTTAGATTTTTATTATTTTTTTTTTTCATAATCTTGTAGATTTTCATTTTTTCAGAAGTATAAAAACAATAGAAATTCTTTTTTACAAAATTAAATTGGGAATTTCTGTTCAGTTTAAGTTTTTAAAAATTATAGGATAATTGCAAAATTTTCGTATGTGATCAATTAAGGGGGTTTAATATTTTTTGGGTATCTATATCTTTTTTTGAAAATAAGTCTAGCGGAAAAACTTAAAGATTGTTTATTAAACTTGAAATGAGATTTATTTCTTCACGATCCAACTATTATCTAGGTCAAAATTTGATTTAAAACAGATTACTAATTTAACGACTTTTGAACATTTAAAATTGAGACTGCTAAAATTAACGGGTTTTAGAATTTCAAAAAATTAGCAATGCTAGAAAATTTAACGGTTTTTCAGTATTTAAACCATTTCTTAGTCATACAAAAAAAAATCAACGGTTATTTCAAATTCAAACAATTTTAGAACTGCTAGAAAGTTCAAATTTAAAAACACCGTTATAAATTTAAAATTATTTACAACCGTAAATTGATCACATAGAAAAATATTGCATAATAGGAAAAATTAATTACATTAATATACTTGGAATTATTAAGACAGTTTAATTCTTGTTTATTTTTTTTTTGTCTATTAGAATCACATTTTTTTTTCATTTGCTAAAAATTATTACAAGCTAAATTGAGTCGATCACAAAAGTTGAATCACTTCCTCTTATTGCTGATCTTCATAGAAGAAATTTCATTCACGTTTTCGAAAATCACAATTTAAGTGGAATTAAAAACATGAACGAGGAAGTGAAAAAACTTTTAATAACTCTCATTTTCCTTTATTTGCAAATTAATTTAAATAAACTTAAAAAAATTTGGGGATAGGGGAAAATTAAATATTTACATCAAGGCACTGTTTTATATATCAAGTTAATGTTAAGTTAGTTTTCTTATAAATGATGATTCAGATTTGTTTGTTCAGTCAACTTTCGTACATAAAACTCTTTTTTATATTTTAATTATAGTCGAATCATCATCGTTGGATAAAAAATAAAATTTTTATTGGAACTTATGCCTTTCATGGTAAAATTCCTTGATTATACTAATTATTCATAATGCGACACTGGACAGTCGAGTCACTTAATATAAACGAAAGAAAGAAACAAAGTTGATACCAACATGCACATTGCCAATTTTATAACAAAATAATCACTTGCAATTAAAAGAACGGCATTTATTGGAATTTTGGCGTAAAAAAATTGTGAAATACAAACGATCAGTGACGTAATAATAAGAAACAGATCGATTACATCTAAATCCATTTCCTACATTCAATTTAAAACAGCTTGCTTGCTTTTATCATTCCTAATACGTCTTTAATTGTTCTCTAAGTCATCGATTGAATTGACAGGGTTGGGAAATTGAGAAATTACAACATTCAGAAACAGTTGCTGTGACTAGGTATCTATACTAGATCTAATACAGATGATCCCAATTGCTAAACATGTTCTAGGCCTAAGCAACTTTCTTTGCGTTTGTCAAGGTAGGTTAAAAACTTTACCGAGCTTAGACAGGAAAATTTGCTTACATCTTTGAATTTGCTAAGCCTCAAGGAAACCTTAGTCTTCAGCCCCCATTTCCAGATTATAATTTTGAACTTTACATCGCTAAAGTCATTAAACACTCCAGAATCTTGAAAATTTCAACATTCTGTAAGATCCAGTAAACAAATTCACATAGATTCACTTTAGTTTTAAAATTCTCCAAACCAACCCTGTCCAATCTCTAATAACTTAGTAACTTGATATTCGGAATTAATTCTCTCTTTGTTTCTATTGCGAAATTTTTAATAATTTTTTTTTTAATATTATAATAAAAAATACATTGTTGCATTAAAAGGGCTTTGAGCTTTGATTTTGTTTGCGCGATGAATAATTTTTATCGATTTTCATCGTCATACTGATTTGTTGTTCTCAAAACAATATTAATATTAACTAGAATTCACTAGAATCTTAATAAAAACTTTTTTAAATACAAAAATTCTTAGTTGCCTTCAATTATTTTGCTTTAATGCCACAATAGCCTGTAGAATGATAGTGATATGGCGGGAATGAGAACACTTAAAAGTGCGTTTGTCGTTGCAGCGCCACTATCGGCTAGTTTTGTGTCATGTGGTATCCTATCATCACCTGTAAGGATGAAATTATAATGTGAATTAATAAAGTTTTTTGTCAAAAAAATTCATGTTATTAATTTGATAGAAATTTCTATAATCAATATTCAAGCTATAACTCTATAATTTTTTAAAGTTACTTCATTTGATATAAATCTAATAGTTTGCAATCAAAGGTAATCATTTAGATAAATTGGAACTAAAAACAGAATCTTATTTAAGCTTTAAAAATCAAACTTTCAAAATTTAAAAATCTTATTCTTATTAAAAATGAAGCAAAAATGATGCAAATAAAAAGAATCTAATTTAAAATTATGTTAATTACAAAATTTCTATCAAATCATCAATCTCATTTGCATAATATAAAAATGCAATATTCAAATGGAATAATACATCAATAAAATTAAAAACAATTCAAAAGATAACAAATCAAATGATCTGCAAATACTGGGACATTCTTAAGGTGATAAATTAAGAGACATGTGATTTTAAGTTGAAAAATATATTACAAAAGAGATCAGAAAGATTGTAGAGTTGGATCATTGAATTCTAGAATTCTTCTTAATGGCGCACTTATGTCTTGGTGATACTCTATTGTGAAGCAATGTGATCTAAACGACCAAGCTTTGTCACGAAGTCTTATTAATAGAATTCAATAATCCAGAATACCCATAAATCTTCCTATAAACATCCTTAAAGCTAAATAAAGTAACAAGAACATAAAAACATACACTTTGAAGCTAAAAATGAGCATAAATTTCAGAAGGCACAGAAAGCACAACAAAAAGTTCGTCTAAATGCACTCTACAACAACAAAGTTTTTCGACATCCAGTCTTCGATGTTATAAAAATAATTCTATTTTACATAAAAATTTTCTATTTTTGACACGACAATTCATCTTGCTATATATTCATTTCATCATTGATAATTGTATTATTTAATTGAAGGCAAGCAAATCCATGCTGTGCTCGTCATTAATTAGTATGCAACATAAAAACAACAATTTCTGATTTTGGACTACGAAAATATACTTTTTTTTCGTCTCTAATTTCTCTTATTTTTTGTTTTTCTACCGAATAGTTGCAGTAGATAATCTATAAAAATAATAATAATAAATTTTGAGTGTTTTAGTAATTCGCAAAAATTTTTATGCAAAAAGCAAAAATTATTATTTTTAAAAAAATATGAATTAACTTTGTAGACTATTTGAGCCTGTAAGGAAAAAGAAGAAAAAAAAATGATAGAAGTTGAGTCAATCAAGCATGCTACCGAAATCATAATATCGTCAATTTTCAAGTGCTCATTCTATTTTTGTGTATGGAAATAAATGTCAGGATTGGAAAAAAATATCGTTGTAAGAAACTGGCAGTGCTATCTGCTAATGCTATGAGAGGAATGTCTTAAACCTCGAGAAGAATTTTAAGCTAACCTATACTCAGTGTCTCTCAAACTTTTTGGTGGGCGACACATCATGATGGTAAGCCACGACCAAAACCGTACACAGCATAATGTTCGTGAGATTTTCGGATTTTTTTGCGAAACATAGTTTGGAATTCACTGCTCTAATCTATAGATACTGTTTAGGGCAGCATAATAGTTTAAGTTGTCATTCCGCAAAGTTTTGACTAGCTTAGTTTTGAGAACAAGCAATTGTTTATCGTTAGATTGCGAGTTCGATTCCAGCTCATAATAAATTAACCTGTTCTAATTAAAGGTACTAAAGTATCAAAATCTAGTTCTAACACACCCCAACCCTCACCTAGGTCACTTAGCATTATAGAACTCAGAGTAATAGTGTTGAGACATGATCAAGCATCCCGAGCGACGTTAAGTCGGTACATAAAGTCAAATGGAATTTGTTTGAAATCAAGAATCAAACTTCATAAGCCCCGATATGACTGCTAATTGATGCTTTGTGTTGATTATAAATTAAGATTACAATCAAGGTTCTAAGACAAACAAACAGACCAACAAGCTAGAATGACTTTTAAAAAAATCTCCTGCCAGATCCTTAAGACAATCTTCTTTCCAACCCTGATCAGTGAAAAACTCTGTGACATACTTTTCCATTCTTATTTTGTGTTTTTGGCTAAGTAATTGCTTATATTCGTTTCTACACGCTACGTGATATTGAATTATATATTTTTGTTCTCTTTTGAATGTAATGTTTTTTTTGGTGCTGGCCGTGCTGCACATAACAACAGATATCCTATATTACAATAACATTAATCCACTTATTTGCCAATAAATAACGTGAGGATTGTGTTGATAAGAGGGTCGTGTTCGTCTAGTTTCCATTTTCCACAGTTTTTTTGATGAGTTTTTATAATACAATTGCATAAAATTCACACAACATAAATTTATGTAAAAAAAAGAAAATAAAATTAATGATGATATAAATTGTGAACAAAAGTCGTGAAAATGTGCATGCTTTTGATAAACTAAGACATAATTTTCAGTGATAAACGTGCATTGGTGCATTTAAACTTGTAGAAAATATAAATTTTCACATTTTTTTGTCGTGCTGTCGTGCAAGATCCAATTTTAAATATTCCGAAAAAAATAAAATATTTTGCTCAATTTATAATAAGTGCATATAATAAGAATCATACGTAGACATTATTTATAATAGAGAATAAGGTAAAATGAGATGAAAATGATTTGAAATTTGAAGAATTTATAGATTTTTAATAATTTTGGCGCGAAAAACAGATTTTAACTGAGTTGAGATTCGACCAGCTCTGGCCTAGACACTGGTGTACTCAATCTCTTAATCATCAAACCCAAAGTTTCTGCAAATTTCAATCATTTCCTTAAAAATCATAAATTGTCTGAATTGAATCTTCAACTAAAGTCTTGTTTTGTGATATTTTGTGAATTAAAATGAAAATTAGTAAAAACCAAATTAAAAAATAATTCAAAGCTAGTTAAAATTAGTAAATCTGTGCAGTGTATATTGTGCACATATTAAAAAACTATAATTTTTGCAAAATAAAGAAATTTGAGAAATTTATTGAAAAATCTCTCGAGTTAGTGAAATTCGACCAATAAGTTCAAGTTTTTACATTCTATCAATAAGATTTGATAGAATTAAAATTTTACCTAATCTGTAACGAGATCAAAAATGCCTGAATATAAAAGATTTAATTTCTGTTAAAAATGTTAATGAACGATGCTAACTGTCGAGCATGTAAACATGTGTTAATTAACAAAGTAATTAATTTAATTAGTTGATTAATTGTCAGATCGATAGCTGTTAATTAAATGTGTGTATAAAAATGAGAAAGTGAAGGAAATTTTCATCAAACTATGTTCAATGTGTCATGTGATGCATGTTAATGTCATTTTAAATTTCAAAACTGTAGCTTTGTTGACAAAGTTTAAAGGTTAAGTTGTTTTAGTAGTTTTTTATATTCTCATTGCTGCCTATTGAATTAGTTTTATTGTATTTGAGATTTTTGAGGGTGTAATTATGGAAAACTTTAATAAATTTTGAAGCTTTTTGTAGAATTTAATCAAGTTTTGACAACATTTTATCCGAATTAACTTTTTGCAGATAATCCTTTAAAATTGCAGATTATTTTCCATGTTATCCACGCTCCAAAAAGCTCATATAATTTTTAAGATTTATCGCTAAACTCATTGAATTGGAAATTAAAGTCAGGGGCACATTTAGAAACGTTTGAAAGAGATTATTATCGATTTTCTATAATTTATGCAAAATTTAAAAGATTATTTAAGGATTTTCAATCAACAATTTTAATTAATGACTAGATTTTTCGATTACGCAGCTTTACCTAGCACTGATTTACTGCTACCCGAGTAGTATAAGTCTGATAATTGAGACGTGGACGTTTGGATTTCGTTTCATTTACTCGACTTTTGCTATTCGGGCTCCTGTGTAGGTATACTGAATTTTTGATGAACTCTTTTATTAGCCATGTCTTTTAGATAAGTAGCTGGTCTGAATAATATCAGAACATATGTAAGAAGCTGTTTTTAACCCCCGTTTGAAGATTATTACCGAATTATTCAACAAAATTATTTTCTTTAAATTTAACTGCAATTTAATGGATGTCATCAATGAATCCATTAAATTGTACATCATAAGGCCCCTTAATAACCCTGAGATAATGTATAAATGAGCTTAACTCAGACTTTTTCCAATTCAATAAATTCTAAAACATATTACAAATTTTTTGTACCTTATTCTTACAACAGTAAACCCATCACCATGTTAAATGCTTTTGTCACATGAAAGATATGTATGTAGGAGGAAGTATATTGGGGTAAAAATCATGAAAAATATTTTGGATTATATTATAAATAATGAATATTCATGCAATCTGCCATGAGCTTAAGGTTTCATAAATATTTAACATTTAAGGATGTCTAGTCCATATTTCAGTGAAAAATATATAAATTCATCTCCAAATCACGTTAAGGACAGACAAAAACAATCCAAAAAACTTTCCGTTTAGAAATTTTCCACCAAATAAACAAGTTCAAGGATGTGTCTCAAATGTTTGTGTTTAAGGATAAAATGTAAATGAGCTGAGTATGAGAGATGTAATGGAACAACATTTTTAAGGACAATTCACGAAGGACTTCTTTAATTTAACAATATTTCAATTAAAAAATCTTTAACTTCTTTAATATTTTAAATTTCACATTTTTGGTCGTATTTTCACTAACCTGCGTCATAAAGTGCATCTTCACCATCATCACTTCCATCTTTAGGAAGCTCAATGTTACCTGAGAACTGTGACGGTGAGTTCTTACATCCAAACCACCAGTGCGCCGTTGGTCGAGGGAATGGAGGATCTGCTTGGTCGATCTGTAGGAGGTTTTGAAATTAATTTCAGTCCTGTGTCCTTCAAATTACTCAAATTAAGGTCATAATAGGTAGGAAACTTACTGCGAATGTTCTGTCATTAAATCTGTAGTATTTATCACCCTTAAAGAAGTACGTATAGCCATTTGTATATTGAAGTGCAGCATCAATGCCATCTGGAATACCTTCCCAATTGCTGACAGGTTTTGGATATGTTGCCTTAACTGGCGGTCTTTTAAGTGGATCAAATCTCCAGAATTTACTGCCTTTGTAGAAGTAAATCTTTCCATTTCCACCCCAGACCATAGCGGCATCAACATTATCAGGTATTCCAGTAAATCCTTCACTGATCTCTTTTGGATAATCTCCATCCAAATTTCGTCCATTATATCTCCAATATTTAGATCCTTTAAAGAAGTATGTTTTTCCATTTTTATAAGTGAATGCAGCATCGATATTACTTGGCAGACCAGCCCATCCTTCTGAGATCAATTTTGGATAGCCGTCAGCAATTGCATTCTCTGTTAATCGGTAATACTTGTCATCTTTTAAGGCATAAGTAGCACCATCGGGCGTATTGAAAATAGCATCAATCTTTGGATTTCTACATAGAGCATCATCATTTGGTAATACTGATGGTGGTTTTGTCGTTTTGGCTGATGGACCTGGAGCTGGCTTGCTACCAGAACCTGAGCCTGAACCCGATCCACTACTGCTCCCTGATTTTTTTCCATACAAGGCTTGAATACCCTGTTGATGATTTAATAAAGAATATTGATTCGTAATGCTGTTTAAGTGCTTTAAATAAATAATTACCTGAATATCATCAGAATCTAATCTAAAAACTGGATCATATCCACGATAGAAAGGTGCCATAAGTGCACTTCTTACATCTGAGTGACTTAACCCTAAACTGTGACCAAACTCGTGAGCTGTTTGAGAGGAAAATATAATTAGTAGAATAAAAGCTTAATAGCTTAGCTTAAGAAGGTTGAGTCAGTCTTTTCAAGCAAGCTTGAGCTTTTTCAATAATATCTTTACGGACCTGCTACTTGGAAAAGATTTGTTCCTCTTCCACTATTGATTGTCCATTGTTCAGCATCATCAAAATGTGCATCACCTCCGTATACTGGGAAATAAGCATGAGCTAAAGTCCCTCCTTGACCATCGAAGGGATCGCCGTCTCCATGCTCTCCTGTCTCGAATCTATTGATTGATTTGAAAACTTTAAAAAAATTCCTAAGCTTTGCAATATTTCCGTCAACTTACCTAATATCAATATGAACTGGATTTGATTTCTTAGCAGTAAATGTGAGATCAGTATATTCGCTCCAAACAGAAAATGCTTTTGCGACTTCCTTATCAACATCGTCTTTATTAAGACGTTTAGGATATTTGGATATTCTATAAGTTAAAGCTTTCACTTTCCACCGACTACCTTGTAGTGCATAACGCTTTGATCGTGAATCAGAACCAAATCCGACTTTATCTCTCACACCGCATCTTGGCAGTGACATCATTGTGATTGTTTGATCATCAAGCTCACCTGTTGAGTCGAGAATTTATTAGTAATTAATATAAAAATTGTAATTTTATGACTTACCGGTTATATTAAGACCAGCAAAGCCTTGAAACTCTCTTATTGCAGTCTCCCACGAGTCTTGCGATAGAAGATTTCCACCTGATGTTGGATTTCTGGCTTTCGGACTAAGATATCCGTATTGTGAAAGATAAATCTGGAAGTAGAAAAAGAGAATCGTGATTTAGTTAAAATATTGACGGATACAAGATTAAGAGTAGGTTGATTAGGGTCTGATTCCCAAGAAAAAAATGACAACGATTGATTCTTCCAGAAAAGATTAAGCTTTAATATTCAGGTAGATAAGACTTAATTTACTCAATATAAACTTAAATCTCCCGATTTAAATCAAATCTCACGACTTATTCTGACTAAATTCAAAGAACTCATTCCAGCTGTGTGCTTACTCATGCATCCATTCATTCATCATTTCATTCATTAAATGCTTACTGTAACTAAGCAAAATAAACACTATAAATTCACTCTCTATTTTCCCTCGTTCAGTCACTATGACACCGAGAGCAGTGATTGTTGTTATTAAGTCATGTGCTTGCTTACATCGCCTGTCGTTATTCCGTACAAACAACAACAATCGTTCAACTACTGACACTTCCATTGAAGAGTTAAACTTTAAATTCACGTGTTGATTTCTAAGAAACGTGAAGATAATTAAGAATGCATCGATATGCGGCTAAGCTACATAATGTAAACATGCGATGTAACTTCAAATCGACATGAACTTTTTTAATGTGGCTGTCAATTCGCGCTCGAGATCGAATAATGAGTTATGCAATCAAAATTCGATTAATTTGTTTCGTCTTTAAAGTTCATTGTTTGTCATCGACAAAGACAATTAAATTGAATATTAAACAGTAAAATTTATGCGGAACGCGTTGTGAGCATTTTGCCAAAACTTGAAATTATACGCGACAATAGTCAAGGTCTAGTCCAATTAAATATAAAGTACGGCGATTACATTTTTGCGATAATATGTATTATATATCTGAGTGTATTAGTTGATAAGCCTGATAATAAAATTGGATTTTGTTAGTTTAAGTCTCTACACTCAAAGATATGACTGAATTCCCTTCATTATCATATCTGGTTATTAATTTAGCGGATATTACAACAGCCACGCACATTTTTCATGACAAATCAGTTTATTCACTTAAATCTATGACAAACATTATAGAAGGTGATTGCTGATAACGGGAAAATTTGTGTGAAATTGTCATCATTGGGGTGAGTGTGAATAGATATCGTATTTTGTTAATAGATAAAGCAGGATGGGAATCCCTGATCTATAAGCAATCTATGAATGTCGTTTGAATAGGTTCGAATATTTACTTTTGCACTTTAAGTTTATAATTAGTCAGTATTTTAGTCTGAAATAGGGTAGATCACATACTTATGATTAAGAAATGAACTCAAGTGCTTACAAAACTGGAGAAGCATATTCCCAGAAATTAGCTAAGATGTCAAAGAACAGCATCGGAAGATACTTTAATAAATCCAATGAACCTTAAAGATAAATTTATATCTCTTGAATTTATCAGCCAGCAAAAATTTCAAGTCTCACCTATCCTTGCCAACTGACTCATTATCTATTTTTGGCAGTCATTATCTCGACCTTGACTAAGCTCCCTTTATCAATCATGTTACACAATCTCAAACTTGTTTTTATTGAATCAGTAAAATACACAAAACTCTTCCCCAACAGCACTTTCCATGTTTGCAAAACTTAACAACATTAACATGTATTTACTTATTCGATTTACGCACCTCTTCAAACATCTGATATGATACTTTCAATGTTATGTAAATACGAAAAAAAAATTTAAATATTTGAAAAAATGAATTTTCAATTGAGCCTTCACATTATGCATTTTTGCGAGTGCATTTTTTATTAGCACATTAATTATTTTCTTTCAAACTATTCTTTTTCTTTCTCTCAAAGTGATTTGCTTGATTTCTTTCCTGGATCATCAATAATTCTAAGTGTGTTTGAGGTGATATTTTTGAGTCAGGGTGTGCCAATGAGCAAAATTATTTGAATTTAAATTAGATTTTGATTTTTAAAAATTTTAAAAGTTTAAGTTCGATTTAGTGAATTTCAAAGATTTGTAATTTATGACTTTGGTAGGTTTCTGTATCGAGATATAGATTGCTATCGATTGAGAGTTTCAGGAACGTGTCTCAATCTAATGTTCAACTTATTATATTATATCTTCATTTTTGATAGATTACCACGATCTATTATTTTACATCGAGTACATTTTGAACCCTAGTAATGGTTCCTCAATCTTATACCAATGGATCTGATGGAAACTCATATTCTTCACATAGATTTATTTATGAAACATCAAGCAAATCACAATTCAAAATGTAAAGATTAAAAACTGCCAATTGCTTCCTTGGTTTACCAGAGAACCCATAAATTTCCATTTAAAAGCTAACCCTCAGCTTTATGACAGTGATTTTATTTTAATCGACATTACAGAGGACACTTTGACAAATGGAGTCAAAGACATCAACACATATCATAAATTAATTTGAAATTGATAATCAATCACTTTTATTGTGTGATTTGAATTAATTAAATGATGATTGAGGGGCATGACAGACTAGGAAGAGCCAAGTTTTAGCATATTCAATGTTCTTTTGAGTTTTGATTTGAATTGTGTGATGTGAAACTAGAATTTGTAAAATGTTTGATTTGATCTTGTAAGTTTCATCCAAATCAATTCAATTCTAAAGTCCATTCCCGATCAAATTCATTTTTTTCATAAATTTAACAAATTAAGAATTTAAAAACAAATTAAGTCTAGATTCATTTGCAACTGCTTAGTAACTATGTAAATTTTAAATTTTACTTAAATTCAAATGCAAATTTTATAAGTAACAAGTCATTAGTCACTCATAAAACTTAAACGTATGTTTGTTTTGTCGCCTCATCACTTTTCAAAACTAAGCTTCTACCTTATTCTGTATATCGTATTTCAAAAGAAATTTGATGCATTGTAAAAAATGCCGATCATGCATGCTGTTTAGAATTTTTTTGTTGCATTTCTTCCGCAAGTCTGTTATTTATTTTGTTTCAAATATGAATCATAAATTTAATTTTTTGTTAAATTGGTAGCCGGACGTGCGAAATAATAATCAGCACGGGAGTAAATAATAATTTTTGATCATGAAAAATGGCAATTAGAAGTTAATGATTATTGTTGGATTAATTTTTTAATTGTTGGTTCTGAGAAAGTTCCAGAAATTTTCATTGTTATTAAATTTCAGTGTTAAAGGTTTGCTCTCTTTCGTATCCCATGATTTGAGTTCTGAATACGCTCCTAGTTGGATAAATTGTAGATGTTTGAATCAAGCTAATGCAATATTGGAAATTGTTAATTCAACATACATTCTATCCATCTAGCTGCAGCTGTATTTTGATAATAATTACGTCTACACAATTCAGCATATGATTGAAATGAAGGAATGTTGATGCACAAGCACGTTTCTTGCAGATGCGATAAAAATGCATCATCATCAATTTCCTGGAGTCTCAAGAATTAGGTCACCGGAAATTTCTATCCTCTCAATTCTTAGGTACAAAAACATCAAAATATTCAGTATCATTTCCGGAAATGTTCCCAAATTAAAACCCGTCTTACAACGAAAGACGATTCACAAAATTCACATTAATTCGTTTAAAAAACAATTTTGTTTATGGCAACAAGTTAGACTTCCATAATTAATGGAATTATGAAAGCATTTTTTTGGGAGCGCCACCCACAGCGTGACTCATAAGATTATGAATGGAAATTTGATGACTTAAATGTGTCTCATTTGGTCACATTAATTAAAGTTTTGGTGCGTTGAAAAGAAAAATAAGTGTGAATTTATAGATAAGTGATTTATTTGGATTTTTAAGCTTCTTCATTTTTGAAGGAGTCAACTTACATATTGGCAAGATTGACCATTGTGAGCAACATTAGAAAGTTTTAAGGTGAATAAATTTTTAATTTAACTAGATTACACTTTATTGGGATTTGTCTGGGTCTTGCATTGCTGTTATACTTTCTGAGTTCACAGATCGAGATTTAAGTCTAAATACTCTAAATTTTAAAATTGATGTCATTTATGAATAATCAGCAAATCATTAAAATTTGAACCATTATTAATTATTGCTCACATTCGTCAAAAAATTCTTTCAAGTAGCTATAAATTCTGCTCCCATTTAATGGATTGATTCATCTCAAATTTCTCAATAATTCATCCTCATTCATTTTTTTTCAATTCCATTAAATTAATTTGAAGCATAAATTGCTTTAGATTGAATTCCTACAACTTCATTCATCAAATTCCCTCCAAATGATTCTTGAGTATGTTAATCATCAAATCATTTGCATATTAATCACCATCAAAACATCTCAATAGTAAAACGTTAAACCTTTCTCTTCTATCCACTTAGGAGTCGTTCATAAATGTCGTTCATCAAAAATGGGATTTTTAGACATCTTCCTTGTTATTTCTTTTGATTTAAGAGATTACAAACTATTAAAATCCCAAATCCAATTTAAATCATATGAACGTCATATCTGAACAAACCCCAAATCCATCCACTTTATAATGTATCATAATATTTACAGAGTAACGGTTCAACAGCACATGTCTTTTATTATTATTGTTATTTAATGTGTACAATAGAGAGCAATGTCAATCTTTTATAATTTATGAATGAGTCATAAGCACTGAGAGAAGCAAAAACAATGTTTATTGCGGAAAAGAAATGGAACAGAATTGAGAGACTGAGTTTAAAAAGATGAAATTCTAAAAAATATTTAAGAGATGAGTAAGAAAGAAAAGAGGAAGAAGCGCAGCTCACACAAATGATCGTCGATCATCGTATTGAAATTTCCGCAATAGACATGAAACCATTCACCTCGATTATTATTCAACTGAACTGCTGATTGAGAAAAGAAAATAGTTTCACACTTTTGTCGCAACCGCACGTTGTCGATTTTACATGTCAATAACAATAAGAATCGAGCATTCATGTGATGAGATTGGAAGCACACGCACGTCGTTGGTTTTCAGAACAATAATAATTTATTCAGCTGATTGTGGTTAATTTTGTAAAACAATTCATTTGTCACTTATTAAGTCTGTAAGGAATGATTGAACAGGAGGAGCTTCAATTGCGTTCCAATGAGTCAATTCTATGGTACTTCCGTCTGTGATTCCATAATCCATAATGCGATGCACATCAAAAAGTTCTTGGCCATTGTAATACAATCTATAGAAACCGATGGCGAAACCACGTGATTCAAAGATCTTTTGTTTAATTTCAATAATTTGATCAGATCCACGACAGAGAATATCGAGATCTTGTTGCTCCGGAATTTGGACTTTTATTATCATCTTTCTTTACTTTTTGTGTTGTATTTTGATTAGCAATTGAACAGAAATTAAATTCAAATTTTCAAACTCAATTCAAATGTCACTAAGAATTTAAAACCACAAATTTTGTGAATTTTCCATTATATAATGATCGAAAATGTTTCAATAAGATTCATCAATCTCTCAAAATCCTGTGGCAATTACAAACCCACAAGAATCATCCATAAATCGGAAGCAAACAAACCACATAATAAATTAATGGAAATGTTCATACACAGCATGAGATTAAATCAAATATGTCATTGACCTTCCACAGATTCAATTTTCCATGATTTTTCGCAACAGATAAGATTGACTTTGATACACATACATGTGTAATGGAAATTATTAATTGAGTTGTAGGTTTTTTGATGGATCAAATTATAAACATTTGATGATTTTGTGGAATTACGGGGAAAGGATTCTGAATTTAAGGTATAAAAAAAGCTTATTTGAAAATTCTTTATTCGTTGAATAGCAAGACCAAAAGATCCTAATATATGGCAGCCTCTAGAACGTAACTTTCAAGGCAAGAGATCAACAAAAAATTATCAAAAAAGATATAAAGGCACTTAATCTGTTTCGATTCTCGTCTTCAAGCTTCAAGTCTGATTTTTGTTTCGTGCAATTCAGATTGCCTTTCCTAAATTGAATCATCACAGTTTCTAATTGACACATTAAGGGCCATTCACTTATTACGTAACGCTTTTAGGGGGAGGGGGGTCTAAGATTTTGTTACGGTTCAAACAAGGAAATTTTTTTTTCATACAAATTTTGTTACGAGGGGGGGGGGGGGGGGTCTAAGAAGTCATTTTTTCGCGTTACGTAATAAGTGAACAGCCTCTTAAGTATTTTGGTGATTCTATGTGTCGCGCGCTTCACTGATGCAATTCTAAGTATTACAAATTTAATTATTAATGCAAAGAACTAGCGAGTAATTGAACTTCCTTTGACAATTGCGTTAGTTTGAAGAATAACATCCGGGATTATTCCAGACAATCACGTTTTTAATTCTTATTCATAATTCTAATATTTGGCACATTCAGGCACAATTTTTCCTTGCCCCAATTTCTCCTACAAATCAACTTCTTCTTTTGTACTGTTTTACTCAAAGTAAACACCTGTTCCTTCATTGTATACACCCGCTCAATATTTAATTAAGAAATCAGTTCACCCATTTCTGTTAAAGATAAAAATTCAGAACAAATGGAAACAGACCACATTTTCAAGTGTTTACTTTGCAGTCTTTTACGATTTTTACACATCTCATGCTCAAATTCATTCATTGAGTTATTCACAATACGCAAAAATTCCACTTAAAAATCTCCCACAAAAATATTAAATCAAGCTGTTGCTAGTTTAAAGAGAAGACATGGCGTCTCGTGTATTAGAAGCAATCAAATCAAATTAGCAAGAGGATGAAAATTGAATCTGAATGAATTGGACAGAAACTGTGTGATTCATTCATTAATAGATGAGATGTAGACATCACATTTGTGTGTAGGAAATTGAGAATTGTAAAAGATTAGTCATCAGAATGTAAATGAAAGTTTGTTGGATGTCGAAACTTATTTATGAGCAATTTGTCTATTGATGCTTAATTTTAAGCTGTTTTGTAGGTCACATTCAAACTTCCTTCATTTAAGGCAGTTATGAACTAGATTTATGTAGAATATTTCAGACTAAGTTGATCAAAAAATCAAGTTTAAACTTTAATCTATAAAATACGTTCTATCCCATGCTGCACAAAACTTTTCTTACTCCTCGATAATTAAAATTTGTTCGACGTCTCGAAATGTCACTTTAAGCGACGATAAGTTACAAGTGCAATACTCGATTATTTAATTGTTATTCATACAATAAAATTCATTGAGTGAGGACAGACATCAAACATGTGAGCATGTGAAGAATCACATGAATGTAAACGTTTTAGTTGGGAAAGTCATGTGCTGTCGAATGAGGATGGCTTGGGAAGGTGAATTTGTTGTTTTAATAAGTTTGTTTGGTTTTTTGAAAATTTTATCTAAATGTTATTTTCGTCTATAAATGCTTAACTGAAGCTTTACTTAGAGAATTTGTAAGTTAGTTGACAATAAAATCAATAAATAATTTTTTATGTAAAAATATTTTCGCAACCATAAATTAAAATCGAGTAATTGAACATCTATAAATATTTGAAAAATTACACAAATTTGAATAAGAAATTAAAAGATGACATGCGCGATTGAAATTAAATGGAATATTTTAACAGTTGCAGGAATTTCAGCAAATGTTGTTAATTTGATGTGAATTAATTGAAGATGATTGCATTTTTTACTGTAATTAGATGAACTAAGATGATTGAAACGAGTTTTCAATTAAAAGGCAATATTTGTATCAATTGATGTCTCTTAAGAGTAGGGATTTGGGTTTATCATTTGGTCGCCTGAAGAGAAAGAACTGAATAATCCAGAATAACTTCATTCATTCTTATAGATCATATTTTTCATAAATCATATTTAATGAGTTTCTGAGATAATTTCAAAGAATTCAAATAAATTAAAGAAATATCTCTAAATGCATATATATTGACCTCTCCTCTTTTTTATCCTTACTACGCCCCTGTATGCTTATAAGACTTGGAATCTTTTATCTCCAGACAACTTATCAAAATGTAGTTCATCCAAACATTTTACAAAGAAAAGACCCTTTTATAATTTTAATCATTAAGTATATATTGTTATTCATTTTGAAACGCTGCTCCAAATTATGAGAATTAAGACAGCTGTGTCAGGTAGTATTCAAAATTCTTTTGTGGTGAACACATCAGCAAAAATATTTTTTCTTAAAAAAATATATTCAAATTTCATACTAGAATGTATGACTTTAAAGTGTTTCCACAGGCTGTGATTGCTGTTATTGGTAAGCTCTTATGAACATTATCCAAGCTAAGTTGTAATTGAAAATCTTATTAGCTAGTTTTGGAAGTTTTATCTTTGGAATTGCATTGGGTAAGTTTAAATATTTGTAGTTACTAAAGAGCAAACTAGGAAATCAAATAATATTGTCTGATATTCAGGATGGAGCGCCCCAGCAGGACCTAAACTCATGAGCAATGAAAATAGTTTTGAAATGCAAAAAACTGAGCTAGCATTAGCAGCATCAATGGTTCCTTTTGGAGGTTTTTTTGCTGCTTTCATAACTGGATTCATACGAAATCGTTTTGGAACTGTCAAATCAATCATTATATTCTCTGTCCCAAATTTAATTGGATATCTACTTTTAGTATTTGCACAAAAACCCTGGATGGTGAGGCAAAATGTATTTCTGCTTAAAACCTTAACTCTATTTCACTCAAAGTTAATTTTAGGTAGGTTCTGCATTGGATTAGCTTGTGGTGGATACAGCTTTAACAATCTCACTTATATCGGTGAAATTGCATCAAAACAGATTCGAGGAATCTTACTGACATTCTACGAAATAAATATTAAAACTGGAGTTCTCTTTGTATTCGTCCTTGGAAGTGTCACAAATCTGTTGATAACGAACATTATTTGTTCAGTAATCGTTGTAATCTACGCAATAGCTTTTTCCTTCTTTCCCGAGACTCCAATGTATCTGATGACAAAAGGAAAAGTCGATGACGCAAAAAAGTCGCTTAAAGTTTTACGAGGCAGTGATTACAAATATGATAATGAAATGAGAGAGATTCAAGACGAAATAGATGAGATTGAGGCTGCAAAGTTACCGTTCTGGTTGGAAATTAAAAATAAAGCAACTCGCAAAGCCTTTTGTTTAGTCGCCATGATGTTTGTATTCTTCCATATGTCTGGTAAGGATCGGTCCATGCCCTTGGGTAGCATCAAAATCAAAGACTTGATAAAACTTGTATATCATTGCAGGAACTGATGCTGTAATATTCTATATGACAACAATCCTAATTGAATCTGGTATAAAGTTCGATCCTTTCGTCGCAACCTCTGTTCTTGGATTAATACAACTTCTGGCTATCATAGCATCAGCTTTTTTCATTGATCGTTATGGACGAAGATTTTTAATGATTTCATCAAACATCGTAATGGTTCTAGGTCAACTTGGAATTGGATTATATTTTTATTCTAAGAATATTTTGGGATTTGATGGATATGAATATTTAACTCTTGTATTCCTTTGTGTATTCCTGGTTGGATTCTCATTTGGAGTTGCTAGTGTAACTTTTGTATTAGTCGGTGAATTATTTTCATTAAATGCTAAAAAAGTTGTTTCTCCTGTTGCTCAAGGAATAAGCTTCTTGTTCTCATTCATTGTGGCAACATTCTTTCCATCAGTTGCTGACGCAATTGGCATTCATACAACATTCTTTATTTTCGCTGGATTTTGTTTCTTATCAGCGATTTGCATTACTTTATTCTTGCCGGAAACAAAGGGGAAATCACTTTATGAGATTCAGAAGCTTTTGATTAATGAAAAATGAGGATTTGCTAGAGATGCTATTTAAAAGCAAATACTGTAGCAATGAAAATCCAATTGTGCAAGTAGCTTGTATGAATAAGAACTTGAAAAAAATAATAAAATTAAAAATATTTGACTCAACTTAACCCAAGCAATTTATGATCATAACCTAGTACAACAATTCTGACGAAATATTCATCGTAAGAATGACTAATGACATTTATCTTAGAGCAAACAATGTTGTTAAAATTTTTAATAAGCTCGGAAATTGGTTTGTATCGTCGATACTATCCCTCTAGTTTTGTTCGTTTTCTGGGCAATTTTGAACAATTTTTTTAAAGACAAAAAAACTTAGATTTCATTTCATTTTTGATCAATGTTCGATTTGTTCCAAACCCTAGGCTTGCATCAACCATCTCCAATTAAAGCAGAATACCTATAAATGCTAACAATTTCCGTATAAACTTCAATTGCATCTTAAATGGCATTAAAAACTATAAACATTTTGTCAAACTCAAATAAATTTTTTTTTGATTCATAATCGAGCATTAATATTCTTACTGCATAATAATGTGCAATTCTAAAGCAATTTTAATTTGTTGTTTGTCATTTTGTTAGTCTAATCTTGATTCTTCATTATTATTATAACTGTTGATGTTAAACATTAAATTAAATATAAAAGCTTAGTATATAATATAAAAAATATTTAATTTGAAGCTCTGTGATTGTAGCAATAATAACATGTACATGTCAGTAAGTATAAAACATATAGAAGAGACATCAACCACAGTAGTGGTGGTGGGAGGAAGAATAAAAATAATAAAAAACTAAAATATCACACATGACCTTGATCGTTAGAGTCACGCTATGGTTGTGTTCGCGATTCTAATGCAAGCTCATCAGTACTGTATGCTTTTTATATTGATGACGATTGTTTGCTGCTATTGATGACGATTAGATGACTTGGTTATAATGATTCAATACTATGTTGTAAAATAAATTGGATTTTTGGTTTGTTTGAACTTTTATGGCAGTTTGGAATTGTTTTGACATATCATGCAATAGCTGAACATGTTTAGAATGAAACTGAGAGTTTTTTTGCCTTTGAATTTTAAAAAGGTGGAAGTGGATAAAGTTTACAAAACTCAAACAACAATTTTCACTCAATAAAATTTCAAAAAAATGAACTTTTTGTTTAATTGTTGCTGATTTTAGATTGTACAGAAAGTTTAGTGTTTTAGTAGATGGTATGAAAAGCTTGATATTTTATTGTAGCTTTTTCTTAAAATAGATAAATAAAGGTAAAGTTTATAAGAAGAAAATTAGCTGATTCTTTCATCAGTAAGCGTGAAATTTGGAACTAGATATTTTACATTTAAATGCTTTCACGATGTCACTCCTTGCTGATTGTGTTACAATCTAAGCGAATAATGAGCACCCTTATTTGCATTTTGTGATATAAGGTACAAAACTATGTTCAGACAATTCTGTCAGTGCTGGCTATTGCAATAGCCAATATCTAAAACTTAATTCAAGTGGGTCAACAGTTCATAAATTCAGATCAATTTATGCTTTGTCATCAATTCAACACCATTCAAACTTAAACAGCTTCCTCATTTCCCAACAAAATTCTCTCCCAGACAAAAAAAAAAAGCTAGCAGCTAATAAAATTTCACATCTCACAACAAGCATTTAATTTGTTTACATTTCAAATCGATTAATAATGACTTCATACACGCCATAAAAAATTGATTATTTATTTGCTTTTTATAAAATGTAACCAACAATAGATAAATAATTCAGAATAGATTGAAAATTATGCTTGTCGCAACTTCATCAGACAGTTTCTAAAATTTATCAGACTGGAAAACATTTTTCAGTATGCAATCGATTGTGTTACATCATATTCATCTGACAAACTATTTGGCTGATTTTTCACTCGGACAGGTTAACATTCTAGACAATCAATAACAATTAATTATCTTTACATGAAATGGCTTTTAAATAAATTAATGCATAATTGATTAATGGGATAATTATCACACGTGCCAGATCATATTACAATAAATCAAGGATAAAAGAATAATTTTCGCGTGTAATTTAATTGAGAAAAATTTTTATGAATAATTACAGCACATGAAGTTGCATAATTTTACAGTTAAGTGAATCTGCCGCTTTAGATGCCTTTTCGATTAATCATACTTTGTGAATTAAATTCAACTTTTCTTGCTACTCAGCATGATAATTAGTGCAATGTTAAGTGATCGATAAAATCAAGCAGATCAAAAATTATTAAAATTGAAGCTCGCTCTATTGTCTGTTGATAGACACTGCAGTTTAGGGTAGTTCATAAATAATATCTATCAGTAAATAGAATTTTCGCATTTATCCCATAAAGATGCACGTCAAAGCATCACTTTGATTGGTTAATTAATTGATATTTCTAATGCACGACTAAGTTGCTGTCGTTTATTATCAGAAAATTACAGGAATTCGATATAAAGTGTTAAATTGCTGTAATTTTTTAAGTGTAATGCCTGACTTAAAGCTTACTACTATTGACTAGGAGGAGATTAAAATTAAATTCGCAATTCACCAAATACGATTTATTTCTGGTGGACAGAACAGTTTTTAGTAGGAACCGAACCACAACTTTGCTAACATTAATGCCAAAGGGGGGGTGGAAAAAATTTCCAGTAAATATGGTTCAAAAAAGGACAAGTGAATTATGACCACTGTGTCATTATTGTAATAAATAGGTACTGAATAACTTTGACCAAGGGACTTAAAAAGCAGCCACTGACTTCATTGAATTAAGATTTACTATGAAAATGAGTTTCTGAGCTTTCCATTCATTCCTTGTCATAAAATATGCTTAACGTTAATAGTGACGCTTTTAGCTTAATGTTAAAAGTGATTAAAAAGTTTTAAGCAATAGCCAAATTTTCGAGTTTAATTATAAGTAATTTAATTAGACATATGCTGCATTTCCACACCAACATAAAAATTTATCCCACAAAATTCTAGTCAGTTAAGTTCCTTCATGCCTACTCAAATAATTTCTAATTTTCTCTAATTAATATCCCTTACAATATTTCCCTTCCAACAAACATCTGATTAACGAAGCTTCAATACTCAAACACAGCCTATCATTACAGTATCCATTGCCTATTTAATCGTGAGATCTTCTGACTTAATTGCTTGTATGATTTGTTGTGGAAGCAATCAAAACAATAATTTGATGATTTAAAAACAAATAAAATTGTTGAGGTTGAATTATTTATTAATTTGTGATGCGTCACCACTTCTGAAAGGATTTAATTGAGCTCATGAATATTCAGCTTATTGAAATATATTATTTTCGTCGCGACGGGAAACGAGGAAATTTATCGTTTTAATCATTAAATAAGCATTTCTAGAAGACGATTTAATTGTTGTGCAAATTCGTTTGTTTATAGCTCGGATTGTTTGGAAGCTTTAACCTCATGAGGAAAATCTATAAAATTTGTACCTGAATGACCTTTTGGGAAAGTTGTTAAGGAAAACTTGTGAAGGAATTTTAACGAATTAACATATTCGATTGTTCTTATAGTGCCGAATTCTCAACAACAACAACTAGTCTTACATTCAGCATGAATAGGTCATTTACCTTTGGACGAATATTGGTCCTTAAAATGCTTGACTGAGTTTTAAAAGTTTATTATCATACAGATTGTGTCAGAAGAGTTGTAATGGGCTTATTTTTATATAGACATCATTGTAGAACAGCCCCCAGAATTGATCAGATGATTCATTAACTTCTTATCAACACAAAAACCTAATAAATTCAATTTCAAATCACTTTATTGAAAGCATAAACAAAACAAAAGCTAAAAAACGTGTGAAAAAACAAAAAAATTAAATTAAGCCTTAAAATATTCAGAACCTTTCGCTTTTTTTCTCATCACATAAAAATCACACACGAACTACACACGAGGAATTTTAACAAAAAAAAAAAGCTAATGCAACTTTTTATTGTTTAAATTCTTTTTTTGCATTATTTTATATTGAGAAGAAAATATTTTTATGTCCATTTCAAGGACACGCTTTTAGAATTAGTAATTTTGTTTTTATTGAAAGGAGAAGACATGAGGAAGGAATTAAATTTTAATTCTATTGTTTCGGAGATGAATTTTTCATATTTAATTTAAGCAATTGAATTAAAATTATTTAATATTATTCAAGCGAAATGACATAACATACAGGCACTGTCTATCGTCTCAATTACATGCAAAATAAGTACCGAGAAGTAAATTAGGTTTGAAGCTGTTGTTTGGATTAGAATTGATGACTTTTGAATCTAAATTGTTAAAGTTTGGATGTGAAGTAGAGTTAAAAGTGAACAGTGGCTTTAAATGAGGATCACAGTGAAAAATGAGGAAGTTCAGAAAGAATAAAAGCTGTTAATGGGATGTGGATCGATAATGAGTCGATTAACCATCATTGAACCATATTAAACTACCGCCTGTCACGTAATATAAGTTCATAAAGGAAGAGCATCAAAGTACTCTAGCACACATTAGGAGCGAATTTGCAGCTATATAAAATTTCTGGACCATTGATAGACTCAAACTGAACTGGAACAAGTCTTTAATAACAATCTAGTACTAGTCAAGCATGTGATTCTCAAAAACCCAAGCATTTAAACCCACAAAATCATATTTAAAAACTTATAGTCCAAACTTGGACATCACATTAATTTTTTAATCACATAAGTAAGCTCAAATATCTCATTCGCAGCCATTAAGCAATCAAAACAATAAAACTGCACTTCTCGGATAAATTTATTAAGTCGTTGTACGTCTTTTTATTGCTAATTTGCAACTTACTAAAAAATTCAATTCATAAATCAATGTGTTTAATGTCATTTGATGAATAAATTTAATATTGTTTACCCCTTTGCAGTGCTATCGATGATACAGTCAATTTCCTTAAAAAGTATTTCCATTCATGCCACATTCGAATGAATGGGGTCGTTAAAAGTTTATTGACCTAGGATCGTGATTTCATATTCCTTTTAATTTTGTAGCACATGTAAGAAGTACATAAAATTTCACAGAAAGCAAGGAAACTTTAGTCGTAAGGAAAACATAACTAAAACTGGGGTAGTTCAACAATTTCCATGTTCAATTATTCATTCAAAAATATTTCGTGTGTGTTCATTTCTGTTT